ATCCCGTGTCGATTTGTAAATTAACGTTATTATGCCTGAAACGCCAGCATCTCAGGTTAAACCTCACAACATGTCGTCAAACACCATACAGTAAAACTGTAACTGGGAGCAGGTTTACGGATTCTGCATACAAACGTGAACACAGAGCGCGGACCCGACGCGTCAGAGTCAGATTTTGATGTGTCGGCGGGTCCGCGCTGTGTTTGCCTCTTTTTTTTTCGCTGGCTTCTGCAGCTGCAGGTTTCATAACTCTCTGTTTACATCTCTAATTAAGTCTCACATGTGTCAGCTTTCTTTTAATACATACGAAATTATGGATATATACTGTTAAATGATCAGAATTGTAATATTTCTGACTGAGGCAAAACTTTCCAGATTCCAATCAAATTGAATCGGATCCTGTATCGAATCGAAATGATTCTACAAATCAGTGACGATGCAGCCGTACTCAGCTCCCTAAGCATTTTCCCTTTCCAGTTCACAATCAATCCCACCCCTAGGTCAAAAATATGTATAGGACAATTGGCCTCATCTAATATTTTGTATGAACCTGTCCAGCTGTCCAGTGATTAAATGACAAGTAGATGGAGGCAGGACTTCACAGCAGGGGCATACTCCATAATGTGCTGTGCGTTATCATATGTATAATGTATATATTGCTCACTTATTGTATTTACCAACATCAAGGAGTTATGAGCAAAGAAAGGCCACACCATAGTGCATGTTTAAATAGGGAAAGTTTATTGATCAAAATGTATTACGCAAATACGCATTACATTTTTTCAGCCCCCCAATCGAGTAAACAAAACCAATTACATGTTCAAAGCAACGGAACGGTGGCCCAATATCAGAGAGAACTCCACTCTTGAGTGAGCAGTGATGATTGAGCAGTCCGTTTTATTTTGCAGATTCAAGCTGCTCTTCAAAATATTCGCCACCAGATGTTACCGGAGAGGACTGTGTTGAAAAGCTTCGAGTAATGAACCGTTTTTCAATACAAGCTTCAGTGCTTCGGAAAGCTTCATTTGGCCATCACTACCCTCCGGTCTCCCTTCTTAAAGATGGGGACCACCATGTGAAGGAGTCAGACTCAAACGTCAAGGAAGGTGGTAGGGAAGCAGACTATGCAGACATTTCAGGTTTCCAAGGTGAGCAATTTATTTACAGTGAACTTAATTTAATGTAACTTAACAAAACTTCCTCCCCAAATAAACTCTATTAACAAAACTCAACATAGCATGGCTCTGGTAACACAGCTCACCTCTCCTCTCTCCTGCATCTGGTAGAGACTGGCTTTAAATAGGGCCATCAATTTCCCTCCAATTGCCCAGCCAGTACCACTCACTCAGCTGAGGGATCTAAAACTGTACACAGATTATCTAAAAACACAAAACCTCTACACACTTCTAACACGCACATTTACACAACTAAATGGCAGTATTAACGAAAGGAAAAACATTCAACAAATCCCTTTAAACCTTAACACAAACAAAAGGAAGCATCTCTATTGAAAAAGAAACCCCTTCACTTGGTTTTTTTTTTTTTTTTTTTTTTTTTTTTTCAAAGTCAAAGTCAACTTTATTTGTCGATTCTGCCACATGTACAGGACATACAGAGAATAGAAATTGCGTTACTCTCAATCCCTAGATAAATAGCAAATGAACATTTAAATATATTTAAATATAAAAGTGATTAAAAATGCAAGTAAAATAATTAAAAAGTAAAAATTTAAATAAATACAATTTTACATATAACAAGAAAGCTATATAATATACAATATAATGGGTAAGTGACATTGAGTGTAAACCAGGCAGAGTAGTGCAAATAGGCAAATAGTGCAAATGGAGATTTAGTAGTGTACGGTAAGAGAAAGTGTAACAACAAAGTCTTATGAGGTAATGGCAGTCCAATGCTCCACAAAGTGACTGGTAACTGGTGCAGGCCAGTGAGTGAGTCAGAGAGTGTGTGTGTTTGTGTGTGTGTGACAGAGTTCAGTGAGACCGTGGAGGAGAGAGGGGAGAGGGGGCAGAATCGGGAGGGAGTTAAGCTTCCTGACAGCCTGATGGATGAAGCTGTCCTTCAGCCTGCTGGTCCTGGCCTGGAGACTCCGCAGTCTCCTCCCCGACAGTCTCCTGCTGATGTCATGTGTGACATCATCAGGATTTTAAAATGAGGAAATGCTAGGTGGGCGTTTCCCCACACCTGACCTTCATGAAGACTGAAAAGACAAACAAAGTAAGTAAGAACAAATGACTTAATCTGTAACATAATAAAGTATAAAGAAACATAACTTAGTATTTGTCTTAATTTGCAGAATGTTTGATTTGCCGGCAACAGAACGCTTACACAAACAAACCCGGGATAGTGAGTGAAGCAATGTTACTTGACTTGAAATAGCAAATCATAGCAAATACATAGAAACAGACTGTGTACAATGTGCAAAAAAAAAGTAAACACATATGGGACAAATGGAGAGCATTACAACTGCTCCTCCACTTTGTCACAACTGCTCCTCCACTTTGTCACACACCACCCCGGTCTGCCAGTCCACAGGTACTGCCCCTGATCTCCACGCAACATTGTAGAGGCGTGTCAACCAGGACAGCCCTACAATGTCCAGAGCCTTCAGGAACTCGGGGCGGACCTCATCAACACCAGGGGCTCTGCCACCAAGGAGTTGTTTAACTACCTCAGTGACCTCGCCCCCGGAAACTGCGGGTCATTCCCCTCATCCCCAGACTCTGCTTCCTCCTCGGAAGACGTGTCAGTGGGATTAAGGAGGTCCTCGAAGTATTCCTTCCACCGCCTGACAATTTTCTCAGTCGACGTCAGCAGCGCTCCGCCAGCACTATACACAGTGCAGGTAGAGCACCGCTTTCCCCTCCTGAGACGCCTGACGGTTTGCCAGAATCTCTTCGAGGCAGTCCGAAAGTCTTTTTCCATGGCCTCTCCGAACTCCTCCCACACCCGAGTTTTTGCTTCAGCCACTGCCCGAGCCGCATTCCGCTTGGCCTGTCGATACCTGTCGGCTGATTCCGGAGTCCTACAGGCTAACCAAGCCCGATAGGACTCCTTCTTCAGCCTGGTGGCTCCCTTCACCTCTGGTGTCCACCATTTGGTTCGGGGATTACCACCACGGCAGGCACCAACCACCCTGCGGCCGCAGCTCAATGCAGCAGCTTCGGCAATGGAGACGCTGAACATGGTCCATTCGGACTCAATGTCCCCAGTCTCCCCTCGGAATGCTGTTGAAGCTCTGCCGGAGGTGTGCGTTGAAGATCTCGTGGACTGGGGCCTCTGCTAGACGTTCCCAGCACACCCTCACTACGCGTTTAGGTGCACCGGGTCTGTCCAGCGTCCTCCCCCGCCACCTGATCCAACTCACCACCAGGTGGTGATCAGCTGACAGCTCAGCCCCTCTCTTTACACGAGTGTCCAGAACATATGGTCGCAGGTCTGGTGATACGATTACAAAATCGATCATCGACCTACGGCCTAGAGCGTCCTGGTGCCACGTGCACTTATGGACACTCTTATGTTCAAACAAGGTGCTCGTTATGGCCAAACTGTGATTTGCACAGAAGTCCAATAACAAAGCACCGCTCGGGTTCACGTCAGGGAGGCCGTTCCTCCCAATCACGCCCCTCCAGGTCTCACTGTCGTTACCCACGTGAGCATTGAAGTCTCCCAGCAGGACAACAGAGTCTCCAGGTGGAGCACCTTCCAGGAATGACTCCTGGATTCAACATGCAACAAGGAATCCGACAAGGATGCCCTATTTCCCCAAAGCTTTTTATATTGGCAACTCAATTCTTAACACTATTAATCAAAAATTCTAACGACATACAAGGAATATCAATTTTTAAAAAAGAGTTCAAAGTCAGTTTGTAGATGATACATCTATCTTTTTGAAAGATAAATCAATTGTAGATAAAACTTCAAGTATTATCTCAATCTTCTCTAAAGCTTCCGGTTCATCTGTTAATATCAAAAAATGTGAACTCCCGATTCATACAAGCTTGTACTGTTGTACTGTTCCAAATTTTCATTTGTATTACCTGTGTTATCCTCTTTGAAAGTTTGTATTTTGCAATTGCTCAATTAAAAAAAGAAATCTAGGTAGCTAGTGGCCAGCTGTTTGCCACACACAACCTTTTGCAGCTGGCAGGTGGTGGGCAGCCCTCTTCCAAAAAAGCAAAGACTGCTTTCTTTCTTATGGGGAAATGGGTCGTTCACAAGTAAATTTACTAACCTAGAACATATTTAGAAAACAACAAGGGGAATAACTGAGTGTACGCTTAGGATGAGATGAGTACACTTAAGAGATGAGTGTACACTTTTGAATACATAAACTTATTCCTGGGGCTTTAATTACTGTTGTTTTTCCAGAGCCATTCACATAGATCAGACAGTACCCGCCCACAACATGTGTCTTTTGTTATTACTGCATATTGTTGTAAACACCGACAGTATAAAACATGAATGTTCATTTTCTGGATTGGAAAACTGAAGCCAAAGTGTCTTAAACCTGCATTCTGTCTGAAGACCACCAGATGCTAATTGCTGTAGTTTCAAAAACACTTCAGGTCGTATAAATGTCTATGGAAAAGCCTCTGTAAAAAAACTTTCCTGCTGAGTTTATATAGTCTTAGTCACTCATAAATAATATGGAAAACTCTAATGTTAAGGCATTAAAATGGGATTTCATAAAGGAATGAATTCGCCATAGAGTGTAAATAGACAGATTCTTTATTGATCACGCAAGGGAAATTGCCGTCTTGCAGCAACACCATAAGAAGTAAAAATAAAAATTGTATAATGTTACAATAATGTAATAATGTAACAATGTAATTTAAGGTCCACACAGTAATTGGTCCATACTGAAGGCCTAGTAATGTGAGGTAGCCCAAAATTTCACATACTACAGTGATTAAAAGAAAATAATACCATAATGAAGTCACACTTTATTTTATTCATTTCTATACAGGCAATCGCGTAAACCAGCCCTGTACGTCTTTCCTGGGTCCCTCGCAGCAACACCCTTCCAAGATGGCAGCCAACGGTAGCAGCACGGGTAGCAAATCCAGCAACAGCGGCGGTGGGAAACAGTCCGGCCCGTCAGCTGAACAGGTACCCTCCCCTCCACCTCAGGCTGCTTCACCGGTGCAGTCGTTGATATTGTTGTCGTTGGGCCGTGTGCGGTGGAGTTACAGCCACCAGTTTGAGTCCCGGATAGCTAAAGCTAACGTTAGCTTCCCATCATCGTCATGGTCTGCTCTCTAACAAGCAGCTGGTGTTAAACATGAAGGTTTAAGCGTTCATATAATGAGCTGGGGTCAGGTGTGCGCTTCTAGAGCGCGGTTTATGGCTGTTAGACGTATTTAAATGTGTGTAAGGAGATGGTGTGGCTGTGTGAATAGAAGATGCTATTTTTATAACTGAAGACCACCCAGCCCGACTCAATCAACGTGAAGCCACATTACTCAGATATTCATAAAGTACCTGTAACGATGAACTGAGTCTGCCGTAAAAGTCCTGCAGTGTAGCTGCTCTCAACAAAAGTATGTGGAAAGCGATTAATGTGATCAATGCAATGGTTTCATGTGGTGCTCCTGCAGGCTGTCCATCATGGATCAGTTTGCGTTTGTTGGTGTCAGCTGCCCTCTGTTGTCCCAGCGCAGCACAGAACAGCATAGAGTACGGCAGTGACCATCACAGACTCATGCTGAGCGGATATTAAAATCCCTCAGTCATCTCAGAAAATAGTGATGGCTGTGTGTGTTGTTGTAGAGAACCTATGTGTTTTTAGTGAAGTCTGGTTAATTGTTAATGTGAACATTCCTTGACAGTTTCCGCACAGCCCCCACTGGTAGAAACAGGGCTCACTGGTTTTGATCACCAGGAGGTGTTTAAGTTACTCAAAGTTAAAATGCCATTATTTTTATGATATAGCCAAAAAATTACTGAAAATGTGTGAATTTCTGTTAAGTGAGGTTACATAGACTTTTACACCTTAACTATGTGTGGATCAGACATGCTTACATGTCCAGTCTCTGCTGGTCCATGATGGTGCTCACTGTGGTTTTGTGTGGCAGGTGGTGGCAACATTTCAGAGGATGCGTCAGGAACAGCGCAGTATGGCTTCTAAAGCTGCAGAGTTGGAGATGGACATCAACGAGCACAGGTCGGTACAAACCTTCTGATCCATTCTAAACAGTTTACATTTACAAAGAAGTTTCATGCGGCAGTTCAAGAAAGAGAGAACTGAACATGATTTATTGATATACAGAATTCAGTTATGCTATTTGACGACTCCGATGCTACGACAGCAGAATGAAATCCTAGTGGCGATAGACGTTATCTAGGCATCAAGGGTCATGCCTTGACTCTAGGTCCTCGTCAAATTCTAGCTCAGGTTCTAGCTCCAGTGCCCCTCCAGCTCATAGAGGATCTCAGACCAGAAGTCCAAGATGGTGGAGTTTAATCCATCGGACCATGGCTTGCAACACGCACTGGGAAGCAGCTAAATTATTTTATGGTTTTACTGCGTGCCTTCTCAAATGTGTGCGCACACACGTGTACACAGAAAAAGCAGACAGATGATAGAAAAACACACACAGCAAGTGTTTATTAGGAAACGTTTGCATGTTTGCAAACAGTACTGATTGCCAACAGTTCATTGGCACAACCAGAACAGGTGGCTGGTTTGCAGCAGTTACTTTGGTAACTGAGTTTAAGTAACTGATCTTAAAACGTTTAAATATAAAAATAAATAAATGCTTAAATGAAGTGTCAGATATACTTGTATGGGTATTAATATACTTGGTGGAAGACCTGATGGCTGAGTCGTTATTCCTGTTATATTTCTTTTAAGTTCACCTCCCAGAGTGCATGTGTGGTCGGTGCATGGTGAAATAAAGTCTCCGTGGATAAGTCCTCGTAGACACATGGACCCTCACACTCACTGTCTGATGATGAAATTTATGATCCTAGTGGACTTGTGGATGTGGAGGTTAATTGAGACTTATGGCCTGATATTATAAGCATCTAAATACGTAATAAGCTCTAGGGCAGACCAGGTGGTGCATGTGAATGTAACACTGAATGCATGTTCTTAGCCGCAAATATTTCACAGTCTGGGGAATAACAATGTCAGCTACTAGCTGAGGCATTCCTGTGTTACCTTTTGAGTTGAATAAGTTTTCTTTTTAACATTTCTGTTTTTCTATTCAGCTTAGTAGTAGACACATTGAAGGAGGTGGATCCATCGAGGAAATGCTTCCGTCTAATAGGAGGAGTGTTGGTGGAGAGGACAGTAAAAGAAGTTCTACCTGCCTTGGAAAACAACAAAGAACAGGTGATGGAAGAGGAAATGAGAGCATTTTACAATTTTTCTTTAAACACCGAGTGCTCTGGCGTTTAATAGCGTCATATATTGTACTCAGACACTTATTTAACTCAAAATTTAATTTTCTTCCTCCTTCTGTCTTCACAGATCTCCAAAATAATCGAGTCCATCAACTCACAGATGCAGACGAAGGGGCGGGAGCTCACAGAGTACAGGGAACGCTACAACATACGTTTGGTGGGAGAGGGCGAAGGAGAGGAAAAGGGCCAGTCAGCCGCTCCCTCCAGGGACAGCGAAGGAGGCGGATCCAAAAGCGGAGCCGGTGTTTTAGTTTCATAGGTAGTGAGCATGGACAGTGACAGCAGGGCCCTTTGATTTCTGCAGTGCTGAACACGTAGATGGAGTCACACAGTTTAGGTGGAAAACAAACTCTTTGCAGGATAACTCTGGATTTGAAGTTTACTGAAATCTCTGCTTAATCTAACGCACTTGTTAATTTGCAGCAGGTGTATTCTGCTTCCTTATGTTCAGTGTGAAAGTTAAAGCTGTCTTATGTTTGCCTTTTTTAATGCTGAAATACTGTGACATCAGTTCACTGACTGAATTCAACCCCCTGAATATTTACCCGCACTCACACAGGAGCAGCTAAAAACATGATTTTGCTGTTTTAAGATTATAGAAAGTGGGTTTTTTTTCACACAAGATACAACTGCTAACGTGTTAGGCCAAAATTAAAGATTAATTTTGAAAACTAAGAACAAATGGGACACCTAAACATCCAGTAAAATATGTAACAAAGAGATCATTTTGAAAGCTGTGCAAAAATTTGACTTCATGTAGAGTATTAGCTCTGAATGAGGTCAGTTTGTGTTCAGGGGTGATGAACCTGGAAGTGTAACTGTCACACCTTAATAATAAAAACCCACCATAACTGAGGAAATGCCTCCTAGGACCCCATGAGCACTGTCCACACGGTTAATGTGTTGTAAGGCCTTTGTTTTTGTTAATGATGATGAATAAAAAATGTCACAGTTGTGTTTTCTTGTTGCTCTCAGTTCATCTCATCACTTCCATTAGGAGTGGAGCCAACAAGAGTTTTAAACAAGAGACGAGGTTCAACAGAAGTGCATCATAAATTGTTCTCACACACGAATGGTGAAGGAAAAAGGACTAGTTTAAAGAGTCCCTCTCATAGCATGGTTTGTATATTTGCCTGTATGTGCAGCACCTGCTTTCAAAGGATAAACCTCTATCGTTTATTATAGCTCTATCAAGTCATGACGTTCAGAAATTGAGACATCCTTCAGCATGGTGATCTAAGACTGATTTCAAGATGGGGAAAGTCTTTTGTATGGAGTTTTTATAAAAAGACCTCTGGGGGTTTTCTGGGAGAGTGAAAAGTTTGCCACTCACCAAAGGTTTTGGACACAGTGAAAGGAAGATAACTTTGTTTACTCAAGTACAGAAAATGCCTAAGATGTATCAACAGGAAAATACACGTCAGTTAACGTAAGATATAATACCTTTAAGGTACATTTTGGTGTCCAAGTTTTGGATTGCTCCTAATTTGTCTGCAAGGCAATTATAAATAACAAACTTAGTGTGGGGAACTGAAAGGACTTTAACTGAAACACCACACTTTAAAGAAAAATGGAAAGGATGTTGATTGTTTACAAAACTAAACCAAAAAATAAAAAATGTCTTTAGTTGTAATTTTTGTAAGTTTAGTTTTGTCAAACATAAAAAGACTGGAGCTTATGTTTAGTTGAGACGAGTATGTGGTAGAGAGCCGTGTGCTTGCGAACTTATTATCTTACCTATGACAAATAACCACCAAAAACAACAGCAACAAAAATAACTATAGAATGATAACTAGAATGAACCACACCAAAAACTCTTAGGCAAACAAAATAAACCTTAAAATATCAGATTAACTCTGGAAACTAAAGTAAACTGAGACAGGGGAAAAGAAAAGCTAACAAAAACAATAAAAAATGCGAGATGATATTTTCTCTGGGCGTCTGTGTGCACTGTCATATCTGCACGTATCTATATTTATCTCTCTCTCTCTATATATAGCTACACTTTATAGTATTGATTCTGGGTTTATGGGAATGAGGCAGATTGATTGAAGCTCCTTCATTTGTAATTTAAACCTCATGGTCTGTTTGGACTAATGTGAACAAGTGATACTGAGCAACTGAGATTATTTTTAAACATATGGCGTTACGTAACTGACAAAACACGTGATTCAGGATTAAGTGGGAAAAAGTGAAAAGCTACCGACGAGGATGGGATTCGAACCCACGCGTGCAGAGCACAATGGATTAGCAGTCCATCGCCTTAACCACTCGGCCACCTCGTCTGAATGTCTCTACCGCAACAGCAAATTGTATTCAACGGCAACCTATTAGAATAGTGTCCATATTTATGTGGCTTGTTTCTAAAGACTTCGTTCTCACGTAACGTGGCACCGTATTTAGAACATCCACGGGTTCACACATTGGCCTTTAGGACAAATTAAAAACAAGCGCAAACACTTCTCCAGGAGTAAATTCAGCGGCGCCTTTACTTCCGTCATTACGGTTATAACACATCGGTGTGCGCCGCTGTCGCAGCAGCAGCAGACTGCTGACAACTGTGCTGTGCTTTGATGGAGATCACAGAAACTGGATGATCGCTATATTTGTTCTTTTGTGAGTCGTGTGGAAATCTAGGTCAGCGCTGCCACTAACCGGGAAAACATGCGATCGAGTATTCGTTACATTTCCAGCCGAGGAGGCTGCAGTTAGAACTGAGGCGCCAGTGTCGGTGACGCTAGCTGGGACAGAAATAGAGCAGTAAGAGGCATCCAGCTGTGGTTTTCGGACCTCTTTGTGTCCTGCAGCCTGTCTGGGATGCATCTCTCCAAGAAATGTTCCGCCTTCAAAGTAGTGCTGAGCGCCCTGCTGATAGTGGCGCTGCTGCAGCTCATCTACCTGTCCTTCCTGTCCAAGTTTCACGGAAAGCAGCAGCGGTACCGATACTCGGAGCTCTTCGGAGGCTCCGGGGCCAAGAAAAATGCCCACCCGGAGAAAAACTCGCGGAAGGAGCGCCTGAGGTACTCACTGTCCACCGGCGGGATCTTTGACAACAGCGGGCAGTACCGAGTGTACAAGAACTTAATCAAAAGTGACTTCACCACGAATGAGAAGCCGGGATCTGACCCCAGCTCCAACATCCTGGCTCTAGCTACACACACCACTATCAACAACCTGCACTACCTGGAGTCCTTGCTGGAGAGGTGGCAGAACCCCATCTCTGTGGCCATATTCGCTCACGGCCAAGATGTGAAGTTTGCCACTGCTCTGGTGTACGCTCTCAGCTTCTTCTGCCCTCACATCCAAGCCCTGGTGGACTTCCACTTGGTTTGCCTCTCTGGAGAGATGGCCAGCTTCCCGGAGCAGGACCGTGAGCATTTTGCAGGTCTTGAGGACTGTGCCTCAGTGTTCTCCAGACTGGAGACTCACGGGGAGAAGTACAAGAACTATGCTATGAGCGGAAACATCTCCTACCCCAACAACCTTCTTCGTAACATCGCCAGAGGGGGCACGGAGTCCTCCTACATCTTGGTCATTGACATGGACATGCTGCCAAGCGCCGACCTGCATGAGCAGTTCATGGCCATGATCAGCAAGCGTGAGCCAGCGAGTGACGAGGTCTTCGTCCTACCAGCTTTCGAGATCCGCCACGCTAGGAAGATGCCAGCCACAAAGGCAGAGCTGGTTCAACTCTACCAGGTCGGTGAAGTCCGGCCCTTTTATGAAGAGCTGTGTCCTCGTTGTCAGGCCCCCACCAACTACTCACAGTGGGTAAACAGCCACGTCAGAGAGACGGGAACCCTGGAAGTTGCCTACACGCTCACCTGGGTGGACCCCTGGGAGCCCTTTTATATCGGGCACCGCTCTGTGCCTCTCTACGATGAGAACTTCAAGCAGTATGGCTTCAATCGTATCAGCCAGGTTGGTATGAGAAAGGTGGTCATGATTTCAAGAAGATCTGCCTGTTAGCTGAAGCCCATGAGGTGTTTGAATACAAAACCACAACAATCACTGAACATACAGGAGAGAGCTACCACACACTGTCAGCATCAGTATCGCTCTTAGACTAAAGGAGTAAAGCAGCAGCTTGTTCCAGGTGTTTGGTGGCTGGAACGATCAGCCTTCTAAAATTAAAAGCCCAGGTCCCAGTAAACCAAAGTCAGCAGTATTTATACTTTGCTGTATTTTTAAAAAACTGGAAAGTGGTCGACAACTTTGCTGACCTCTGCATTTAAATCTCTTAATTTGACTGTAAGTTGTGTATATTTTCATAGGAAGAAGTACTTGGTGCACTACTACTCTATAAGATCTGCAAACACATTTTGACACAAGTCTGCAGTTTATTCACTCTTTACTCACATGGAGGCTTTTTCTTCACTTTTTCTATCATCGAGGACTTTCTTTATTATTTCTGTTTGCACTAAAAGATTCAGGTTTTTTTCCAGGTCCAAAACTCTGTAGATGAATTGCTTAAATTAAATTGTAGACTAAATTCAAAAGCAAGTGCACAAATATATGCTACCAGTCATTTTTCTGCCTTTAAAGAAACTTTACACTATCAATAAATATCACTATTGCTCCGACTCCCTCCTGCAGATACATGCAGGTTAATTGGTGATTCAAGCCAATTAACCTGCATCTCTAAGTTCAAGTTTAGAGATTACCCCCTACTGATAATCAATTCTAATAATAGCATCGCCATTGCTGGAGATCCCCCAGACCAACAGTATCTAATGTCTTTGTTTTAAACTTCTGTTAAGCGCCACCGTGGCTGCAGCTGAAAGCATAAAAACTGTCTTTTAAACATTATTTTAATTTAAATACTCTCCCATATCTTAGTGATAGAGCTGTGCTATTGACAAGTCTGTTATCTCACACGCTTATTATTTAAGTTGCTTCTACTTCCTGCCTTCAAATTGGCTGAACTTTATCATTATAGCAGATCATTTAACATAAACACTATAAACAGTTTGGAAAATGAATGGAAGTTACTAAAAGTAACACAAAAGAGTAAAGAGGTCATGGAGATGGACAAGAGATTAGGAGTCATCACAAATGAAGTTTAATGAGTCACAGCAGTGGGAGAGGACGTGACCCAGAGCGGGATGAAATCCCATAAAATCTCTCTTTTTTTTTTTTTATAATCCTGGACTTTTCAGACTAAAACTGGGTCAGCAGCTTTTTTTCTGGAGTTTTAAGCTTCCTAAAACTTCAGATGAGGATGTAAATGCAGTAAGAGGTACACATTTTAACACTAAAACACATGATTGTGGACACACCTGTACTGAGGACGAGAAGTCACAGGACGTCTGCCTCTGGTGCATCAGCTTTGACCTCTCACAGGTTCCTCAACTTTAGGAAAGTACTATATTAAAGGTGTGAAGGCTCCTTTAAATTAAATTAATCTGCTCGACACAAATCGTTTTTGGTTGTAGTCTCTTCTAAACCTCATGGCCTTCTTTTTCTAAGCTTCTCCTTTCCCCTGTGGAAATGTCTCCACACCTTTGTCGGTTTCATCGCTCCACGCAGCCTCTCCCTGACACCTCGTACCTGAAGAAGACATTTCATCTCTCCTTCCTCATGTCCGCTCGCTCACCTTTCTTCTCACGCCTTCTGCCCTCGATACCAAAACCGTCTCCTGTGTCATTATCTTCTCTCACCTCCCCCCGTTCGCTCTCATCACTTCCCACCTCCACGTCTGTCTTCTCATGCTGTTGTTTAATCTCCCTCCAGGCCTGTGAGCTCCACGTGGCCGGATACAGGTTCTCCGTGCTGAGCACTGCCTTTGTGGTGCACCGCGGCTTCAAGATCCAGGGGGAGTTCCACGCTAGGAAAGACGAGGAGAACAAACGCAACCGGGTTCTGTTTCGCAACTTCAAAGAGGGCCTGAAGACCAAATATCCGTCCTCCGCCCGGCGCTGCTGAAAAAAAGACGAGGTCATCGGCCGCCGATGAAGTCGCTGTCGAGCTGAAACGACGGACGCTTTCTTCTTGTATCCAGATTTAGCTTCCTGTAAAACCCTTTCTGCCCAACTTTCATAGTCAGCACATCAATTTCCTAGTTTCTCTCTGATTTTTCTTTTTTTTTTTGTGATGGTGGCACAGTAGGCGTTTATTTCAAATTTTGTGAAAATGAGCATCAGGGAAATGCTGCCTGGGGATTTCTGAGTGTTCGCTTGGATGGGAGAAAAAGAAATGATCATTCAACAGTGAGAAACAGGGCAGAAAATCTGGAGTTCACTGCGATTTCACTCAAATGCACATCCAGAAAGCATTTAGGGTCATTTTAAAGCACATAAGGATCCATGCATCCTATATTTGGAAATCATTTTACACTCGTCCAGATTGAAAAATGGAGCAGAGTCCTAGATTTCACTGCGAGTAACATGAAGTTTAACCTCTTACATTTCAGACATTGTGTTTAAAGTTAACATGCATGGTGGTGTTTGACAGCAGCTGGCAGAAAAATGAATTCGTTGATACATCAGGGACCAACAGTAAGGACCTGCTGCTTAATGTGGAGCTCCTGACCAGCTTATTCTCCTGCAGACTGACGGAGCAGCTTCATTTTTAGGAAGGTGGTGGAGCATCACAAAGGTCTACTGGTCTACAAGGAGACATCAGCAGGAAGGCAGCGGCGTTGTTTTGTAGAGCGATGCTGAAGATGCTTTAATCAGGCTTTCTGTACAGAAACAAGTTCTCCATCTACATATATACAAACACTAGCAGCCCTCTGACTGGAAGAGAAGCTAAAAATGCTACATTTCTTCCTTTTGGGGACTTGAAGGGTCTGATTATTATATTTCCTCCAAGGGCAAAAACACTAGTTTAAAGATAAAGCTGCTCCTTTATTCTGACAAGGTCGTCACAGCAGATGGATCTGCATCTTTTGATTTGACACAGATTTCTGTGGCTAAAAAAACCCTCCTCACACTATTTAACTTCACTTGTTTGGCCTGGTTTCAGACATTTATGTCAGCTATTCAAGAAAAAAAATGATGAAGTAGTCTGATTGTTGCTCTGCAGACCTGCAATCATGGGAGTAAAGCCTGTCTTATAGTGCGCTCTGACCACAAGGTGGCAACAGTCGCTCGAGCGTCCCGGTTGTGGTTTGTTTTCAGCCTGTGGTAAAAACAGCAGAGCGCTCGCACATCAGCGGCGCTGTTTGGTGCTCAGGACGCGAAGCAGCTCCGCAGCACGGCCGTTAGCACATTTGGCTGCGAGTGCTTATCAGACTGAAAGGGTTCATCTCATGAGAACAAAGCTGTGGGAGCCTGTGTACAGAGATTATGCACAACACTAGATTTTTGCATACACTGTGGAGAACTGCTGTATTTATAACACTGGGGATCTGACACTGGCAGCCCTCTACATTTATCAAGAGATTTTTGTTGTTGTTTTTACCTCTTCAGCTGGAGTGTGTGTTGGGAGCAGGCAGCTACAGGCACTAATGTAGCACACATATAAAGCATAATCAAAGTGTGAACCACAAACAGGAGCAGCCTGTGGTGTTAAAGGATTGCTTCTCTTGCTACTATTGGAGTAAAAGACAGCAAATGTTTGATCTTAGGCTTTATTCTGTAACTACGGTACATACAGACAGTATTAACCTCGACTACCACTCTTCTTCTTTGTTTGTAGTGAATGCATATACACTTCAGATATGTTTGACTCACATGTTTAAGTGTTTAATTTAAATGTAATTCTCGATTCGAGACGGACTGACGTGTTTTTTCTTCCTCACTCGTCATGTTTGTGATATATTTATTGTAAAAACTCTTGTTAACAGGAATAGTTTTTTATGACCTCGAGCCACAAAGAATAACCTGTAGCACCAAATTTAAATGGAACATTGTGATTTTTTTTTTAAACCACTATGAAATAATTTATTTAGTGTTTTTGGAGCAGATTCAGTTTGAACACGTTACCTTATGTGATTATGTGGTGCAGTGCTTTTTCCTGGTGCAGTGTTTCTTCTTTATTTGGAAATTTATTGGGTTTTTTTTATTTATTTATTTTTTCTCTATGATGCCTGATTTGTATTGTTGAAATTTCTAATAAACCTGGATTATTTACATTTGACCCGTGACTGTGATTGACTCTAACTCAAGAATAGAGTAAGTTAGTGAAATCACACCTGATTATATCACAAACTCAGAGTATGCAAATGAAAGAATGAGCCAGCTGTGGCTCAGGTGGTAGACCAGGTCGTCTTCTAGTCAGAAGGTCAGTGGCTTGATCCCTGGATCATCCAGCCCACATGGCTTAGGAAAGATACTGAACCCCGAGCTGCCTCCAGTGCATCTGTGTCTGTTTGTTAGAAAGCACTTAATGCGCTGCATGAAGATGTCAAGTGACTGTTATTGTCATTTCAAACATGTACAGTGGTTCAGTACAGAGTGAAACGAGACAACATTCCTGGTGCTACATATGACAGACAAACACAGGACTATGTAAAATGCAATGTGCAAAAAAACAAGACAAGACAGTGTAATGGAAGTGTGCAAAACACTTAATATTGTAATTTCTTCATTTCATAAATTGCCCTTAATCCTGTGCAGTGTCCGCATTACTGCAGCTGCAGCCCCAATCCGTCTGTCGATCTCCGGCTCCCTTCTCCCATCACTCGCGAACAAGACCCCGAGATACTTGAACTCCTCCACTTGGGGCAGGAACTCGTCCCCGACCCGGAGTGGGCACAACAAAAGTCGAGAGGCTTATAAATATTGAAGGTTGTTGATTGATAAAGGGGAGAAATACAAATATAACATCTCCAAGAGGTATTTGGGAAAAATTGGGAAAGGATCTGTGCTAATGGCTCTAATTTATTGAGACTTACGGGTAAGACTGATATCACTTAAAATATCACATTTTTTCTATTGAACCTACAGTAGGTTCAGACTGGACTTCATTAAATCAAAGGAAATGTAACAGCATCCACATTGTGAACATGCTTAAAATTCAGCTTTACTGGACAAAAATAATAATTATTTAGATGTAACTGAGATGTAGTGAGCCCTGTGACAGACTGGCACCTGTCCACAGAGTGCCCTGCCTCTCGCCTCTAACCCCTGTCTTAGCCCCCCCACCACCCCCCGAGACCCTGACAATTTTTTAAATATTGTAAAGCATTCAGTCAAACTTTATCACGCACTGAAAAATTAGACAACAATCGCAATAATGACTGGATATTAGACTCTTTTTTTTTTTTTTTAAATGAAAGAATTCAGGAAATGCTCCTTTAATGAGTCGCTTTACAAATCAGGGAAGGTCACTGATATGAAATAATGTATAAAATACTTCAAAATTAAACATGTATATATATTATCATTTATGCATAAGTAAAGTGGGAGGATGAGGAAATGTATTTGTCTTTTATTTTATTAAACTGAAATGCTTATTTGGCATAAAAAATGGGTCCAAATTATTCTGTTATAAGACGAGTAAAGACTCCCTTGGGCTGAATTTTTAAAAATGCATTCACTCACCCTACAAAACTGTAAAATAAATAACTTCACTGTATGTGTTTTTATACCACCATTTTTTATAAATAGTAATTAAATATTATTACATTTTTTTCTTGTATTGTTTGTGTACACGTTTCCAATGAAAAGTAATTTGAAAACAAATTGTAAGTAAGAAAACAAACATCCTCAGTCATGCGAAGGTTCTTTGAACACTTGGAATTGCTCAAATCCAATCAATTAACTTCACCAGAGGGATTTGCAATGACATCTAATGTCAACAGAGTTTCCAGAAACATCATTTGAAAACAACTGCAACACTTCATGTCCAAGTAAAGCGTTTCAAACACAGCAGGCTTCGCCCGTCTGAACACAGAGCGTGCGTGACGTTATGTAAAACCTTTATATGTGTCGCTCAAAGTGAGAAAACTGCGAGTTATCAGGGGAGTATCATTCTCCAAAACACTTGACCTAGTTGACTCTAACCTGTGGTGTAACGGGGTTTAAGATGGGGAGGCTTTAAAGCACCAACAGCATGTGACAGGTGATTACAAGGTGAGCTGGGACAGAATCCAATTAAAAGTTCCTACTTAGTAATTAAGATCTCTGTTACACTGGAGTTTAATGAGTTCTCTGTATGACTTCTGCTTCATATGGACTGAATTCCCTCTGCAATGACGCCCATGGCCAGTGAGGATCCCAGGAGAGCCTTCATTATATCCTGATAAATAAAAAAAAAGAAAGGTGATGAAGAAAATAAAGCACGTCAGTATCATTGTGCTCAGCTTCAACCTCGCTCGAGCGTTGATGGTTTAACTGGCCATCTGTTGGTTGATAAAGTGGAGCACGTGTGACATTCAGCACTCGGCAACTGTGCGAGGGGCCGTGGCATTTTGTGGCTAAGCCTTCATTATTGGGTCCAGGCACACGAGGGCAAGTGGCACGCAACGCCATGCTATGACTTTAGATCAGCTTTCATTGGACGCACACTTGGTCATCACCAGCTTTATTAAGTAAGGCTTTGTTTTTGCCTTCCACTCACTTCATCGCGACTTCCCTATTACTCATGTACAACAGCAAGGCCTTACCAATGTAGCAAAAATCTTTGAGTTAGAGTACTCATGCATTTAAGTTATTCATTTATTTTTCATACATACTATATATAATTGGTATATGCTTAGTCATCTTTTTTTAACTTTAAAACCCATGATGTACATTTCTTCTCCCCCTGCTCAGGGTGTTAATAACGTAGCAGAAGGCGCGGAAAGGTTAGGAGGGGGATGGTGGATCAGGAGAGGCAGGTTTGGTGAGGTAAAGTGGGGTTTATCTCAGCAGCTTTGGGGAGTGAAGGCTTATCTGGGTCAGAGAGCTTTATGACATAAGCAATTAGGGTTTCCTTCTCTTGTGTATGCTTGCAGGAGGGAGGCCTCCCGCTATCTAGATTAGCCATCCTACTCATGCCAGGAGAGCTCGGCGGCTTCTGGACAGTGGAGGGAACCAGCTGGAGGGCGAGATGAGCAGGCGGCAGGGGGTTCCTCGATGGGGAAGGGGGGGAGGGAGGGCAACAAGAGCAATGGGTCAACAAACATATCTTGTAGACATGCAGGACAAGCAGCACGGGTCAGCGGAGGAGCAAGAGCAGAAAGACGGAGTCAGTGACCCACACTGATGAAAGGAATTCACAGAATGAAATGTGGGGGGATGAAGAGGGCGTTTGTTCACTGTAGCATGTTTAACAGGAGTGTGGAGAGAAAACGACCACAAAGGATGTTTATGGTTACTCAGCTTAATGTCATCGATTTCTTCTCATGAGCCACTTGACTGGAAGGATTTACAAGTGATTAGGACAATTGGTTTAGAGAAATGGTTTAAAAGATCTCTGCATATGCTCAGCTTGTGACTCAAGGCATCTGACAATGTGTGAAAATATGAAATATGGATTTTGTTTCACAAGAACTGCACAAAAAAGTAAAACTTTGTGACTGTAATTCATCATTTTCACATTAAGCCATTCCAGTGAAGTGAAGCAAAAACAGCCATGCAAGCTGAATGCTGCTATAAGAATTATATTTTATGTGTTGTAAACAATACTTATGATTATTTGTTAACCTCTAATGCCAAACAACCATAAAAAAAAAGATTTCTTCTTAATTCCAACCTGACCAAAAACACATAATTTTATAAAACAACATAACAGAAATGGTTACATTAGAGCTGCTGGAGACATCTATACTTAATGATTGATCATTTAATGTTTTGTTGCTTGAAATTTCTTTCTCCAGCACAGAGTCAAACATCTCTAAAAAAAAAAGGCAGCATGATCGTTCACATAACCACATAACAGAAAAAGGAGCAAACTGTCACGTTTATCAGGGACCATGATATCTTTCACTTCAAAAACTACTTGGATGTCTCTGACTGGTCAGAATTTTTTCCATTAATTTTCTGCAAGACAGCTTGTTTTAGATTTATTACAGCGGTGCTTTTTTTTTTTTTCCTTATATTTTTCTTCTAAGGATGCAGATTTTCTTAGCAATAATTCTCGAAGCTTTCTGGAGCTCTATCGACTGTTCTTCAGTCCTTGCACCTGTCCATTTTCAAAGAATTGGAGATTATGTATCGGACTTTCAGGAGCATTAAAACATGCCTCCAAACATGCTCCTTCCGGTTGTCATCTATGTAGGTTCCCCCAGTTTTGCAAGCCGATCATTCTCGTTTACGTGCCCCACCCTCCCTCCCTGCTTCCTTGTTCTC